CCTTGGTTGGTGAAAAAACGAGAAAATATGCTATAGACAGGAATATTTATGAACGTGAAAAGGTTATAACATTATTTTTTATTTTCAGTCATTTAAATTTTATAGAAATTTATTCAGGGATGTCAATAGAAAATACAAATCTGCGCCTGGATGCGTGAAAATGTTTGATGTGTGATGCGTCATTCCTAACTTTTCGGTGATGCGGCTTAATTGCACACAACGCGGGCGCGGTGGCGATTTCCCGTAATGCTGCTCACAATTTTTGAAAACACAAAAAAACGGAAAAAATACTAATCGACAGCTAACAGATATACTTCATTGGAGCGGATTCAGTCATAATTTTTTCACTTAGCAAATATCACTGATTTTATATACATACACACCAATACACTAATCATCCAGATACGGTCTTCGTATTCAACCAACTTTCTTTCTTTCACATCTTCTCTACTGACTATTCGGCTTCACAAATCATATAATCGCGCTCTGCAACCAACAGTGCGTGTAGTTGAGTAATTCCTCCATGGAAGGACGCTCACAGCGATCATAGCCAGCAAACGTGGAATGAACTATTTGCACCTTAAAAACTACCTAGTTCGCAAGATGACATTTTATTGTTTTCTTCTTTGACGTTTTATAGGTTTTTTACATAATATCCGTACTGGGTACCTTTCTGGAGAGCAGTACTTACATTTCTCGATATTTCCTCAACGTCGCTAACTCACCTGAAAAAAAAGCAAATATGAGATTATATTTAGCATCAAAAGCATTCAAAATTATAATGATAATGTTGCCAACTTATCTGGAATAATAGAGCCGGCATCATTTTATAATTGAAACAAGGTAGTATTCTCCAATAATAATTATTTCTGATTTGATGAGCTCAGATTAATTTTGCGCTTGTTTGAGGAAGCATCACAAACAAGGCCACCACTATACCAAGGATTGAAAAGCCTTTAGTTTTTGAAAATCTATCCAGTGGCGGCTGAGCTATGGGCAAAAACATAGAACAAATAAAATTCGCTCAAACTCTGTTTTCAGAGGCTCCTTATCATTTCCATAAAAAAATTGTTGGTGCTTTGAAGTCGGGGGTTGGTTGCTTAGATTTCCCCGTCTTTAAGACTTAGAATGATAGATAAACGTTTTCAGCAAACGGACCATGCAGGGAATGAATGATAACTCGCTGCAACGATGCCGCGTTGGGCAGAGAGTCAATGTTGTGAGGTGAGCATTAAGTACCTGTAGAGCAGGGCAATAATGTCTAAGGGCTATTTGTATGGACCTGCTTGACTGACTTAGGGCCAACTTCACCAACAACAGTCCCTTATTCTCCACCTGTAGGGTAACAGACCGTCAGATACAGCGAATGAGCTTCAAATTCCAATCAACAAATTTTAGCAACCAATAGCTATGAAATATTGAAAATAAAATACTGTCAAAGTATCAGATGACAGCTTGTCATTCAAACATCACCAGCTTATTGAACATTCAGAAATTACATTATAATTCAGTCAAAATATTAAGAAATGTTTGATTTTTGAATTAAATTCATGTTTTAATTACTATTATTGATTTTTTATTCATGTTTATATTATTTTCTTCAATTGATATGTGATACTGGGTGTTTTTTCCTATAAACCTCTTGCAGATTAGCCATTGAGCACCTACTTGATGACAGGCTCTAGCAAAAGATATTGCTCGTTTCCAAACATACATTCATTTACTTGCCGTTCATCAGAACCATTATGGCACCTTAGATTGATATTCCACCACAAAACCATTCAGGTTTTTTGATATCCACACATCCATAAAGTTGAATATTTTTCGTTGTTCAGGAACTGAACAAACATCAACACTATATTCACAGCGATTAAGAAATTCCCAGATATATGCCTTTAAGCTACCAGCAAACCTAAAACCTGCAAAAAAAAACTACAAATTTGCCATATTTTTCTTTTTTCCCGAGTACACATTCTAGGTTATATTTATATTAGACATTATTTGAATACAGCTGATTATTGAATTTCAAGGAGTGACACATGTGTGGGATCTGTCAACTCTTGGTACCAGTCACAAAACATATACTCTGAAGGTTTAACTCCATGCTATTCAATGACAACACGGTGACCTGTGTGGTTATCAGCGGCCATTTTGTGAGGGTGTGACAGGGTTGCCAGATTGTGCATTAATATCCCGTTTGACCCTCCCGGTCCCAGCGGAGTAAGTTCCGCCAACTGTTGAAATATATATATATATACGTTGTTACCAGACATGCCCAAATCATCAGTTGCTGCCGTGATATTCATCCCGACCACTGCATCCCCACGGCTGGGCGATCTGTATGTTAAATTTGTATTGATAGGGCAGCGGGTTATGCTATAAATCATATGCCACAGTGTTTGTGCACTGATTGCAACGGTTAGACGATACCAAAAATATTTTCATAAATAGGAGATCTTTCCCATTCCGGATCGAACAATCTACCAAAGATGCTTATAATCATGATACCTAGTAAATTTTCACGAAAAAAATTCAAAACCAGCAATGTAAAAGATTCATTTCGCACCCTCCACCACCGGACGTGATCGTCTTTAGACTTGGCAACCCTGCGAGTGACAGATAGATATCCCCGCCAGTCAACGACCGCCAGTCAAAAACACAAACAATAAACATTACTAGTTTTTATGATTTTTGGACTTAAAAGACATTATTTGTGAAACAGGTAAGTAATGGTAACTTTCAGTATATTGAAGTTGATAAATTCGAGAAACAGCTAGAAAATCGACCTATTATTTGCCGCATTCCCATTCGCTGAGGGGGATAACGGATTGTTAAATGTAAACCTATAACATATATCAAAATACATGAAAGTTGTCCTGTTTTTTCTGTACAAAAGCATCATGTTGGAATCAAAAGGTGGTCTTGTTTATAATACAGTCGAATTATCATGATTTTATTCAATATTTCAATAGAAATCACTAATATTCAGAGACCTTTGACAGCTTCTGTCAAATTGCATTTTGATAAGGTATTTTTCCATTGGTCCATAATATCAATGTTGGTGAAATCGGCCCTTACTCTATTTAATTCCTCTGTGATACATGTTCGTAATTGACTTTTTCTTCAAAGGATTTGAATTGCGCTGAACTTAATCCTTTATGAACTGATGATGTCGTTGTGCCGAGGCCATTTTTTAACATCATGCGTTCAACGAGGACGGCGCGGTTGTATGTCAATGTTGTATGCCAATTCGCCTGCGGCACATTTTTAAATGGACTGTATCATATGAAAAATTCACCGTCCCATGTGTAAACAACAGCGCAGCTGGAAAAGCGCCATGGAATAATTCAATCTCTAACGAAACCAATTCTCTGCTTTACACAGATTTTGTTTTCCACAGCCTCCTGCAAATTAAATTCCGATGTGATGAACGCGAAACAAGTGAATCGGCTTCAGCAGTCTGTTTCTAAAGTATACGGAGTACTATTAGTAAGGACACTTACGACTTAGGGCCGTATCGTCTGTCATTCCTGCAATTGTAGGACGCCGTTTTCTACACTTCCGTGTCAGCGCACTTATTTTAAGGTTACGTTACAAATATCTATTTGCATCAAATTGTTCATGTTTCTCATTTATATCATCGGTTATGTACCCTGAAATTTCCTGCAATTCAAGAAGAAAACATAGAATGACAATAGGAGAGCGGTGACGCTGACACAGAACAGTAGAAATCTAGAAATATCCCAGCCTCTCTGAAGGAGATGAAAGACTATCAGTTGCACCTTCAAGATGGTGGAAAGTGAGAAGTCATCTGAAAACTCGTCCCTTAAAAAGAATGAAAAAAAAGAACGTCATAGTGTGCCTACATTGTAGAAAAAAGTTGTGAATGTAGTGAAGTACAAAAATTGTAATAACTCATCCTGCTTGTCTGGAGCAGGCAGCCGAGTTGAAAAATGCGGATTGTATGCACGAATCAAGCAAGTTTAGAAGAGAGAGTGTAAACATGCTGCTCTGTGAAGTTTCAACGGAGTTGGATCTCCTAAGAACGCTAGTGAAATAACTGCAAAGCAGAAATCGAATCGCGGAAGAAAACAGTAATCTTTCGAGAGAAAATATACATTTCCTTAGAGATAAAGATGATTTCCTAAATAAAAAGGTCCAACAATACGAAAATGCCAATCATCCATCAGACACAGTGAAATCTAACGAGTTTAAATGTTTATACTTTAACTATTTACAGATGTCCTTCAGGGAATTTTGATACCTTCTTGTAGTCACTGGAGGGAATATTAACACAATTGAGTATTAATAGGCAAATTATTATTGCTGGGATTTCAATGTAAGTTTCAACACATCAGATGTTAATACAAGTAAATTGTGTGACATTCTGGCCTGCTTTGGCTTAGAAAGAACGATCTATGAACCAACCCGTGGGGACTCCTGTCTTGACAATGTTTTCCTTAGTAGTTGGATTGAGCTGTGTGGTTCCCAGATCATAGAGGCCAGCTGGTTAAATTTCTTGGTTGTGAAACCACAGGTTTTACTCAAAATAAAAAAATGTATAGACCAGTTACACAAAGAGGTTTGTTTACGTTTCACACAGGTTGTCAGACGTGCTGAACAAAATTTTAGCCACTTCATGAGTATTATTCAAGAAGCCTGTACATACTCTTTTTCAAAGAAAACTTATGTGGTAAGATCCGGCCAGGGCAGAAATCTTTCCTAGTTTAATACCGAGGTAAGGGCAATCAGGGAACATTTGAGGTTTTTGAGAGAGCTGAAAGGGCAGTATGGTTTTGTGAGTGACCAGTATTATGAAAACTACAAAAATCTATATAGAAATAAAATAAGAAAAGCTAAGATAAATGCTAATGACAACCTTGTAAAGAGCTCAAGTAATCCTGCTAAAACCGTGTGGGATATCATTAATAAAAAAAGGGGTAAGAGTAATAAGTGCCCTGGTACCTGATGAATTTAATAATTTTTTTGTAGCATTGCAGGTAATATAGTAAATCACATCCCTAATGTACATGTAGATCCTGTAAATAATATTGATTTCCTGGAACCGCCACCTCTCTTTTCTTTTTCTGAAGTCACATTTAACGAGATCCGCGATGTAATAGATAATCTCAAAATTAAAAACAGTAAAGATATTTTTGGTTTCACGTTAAAAATTTTAAAATGTATAAAGAACACAATTTTGATCCCTCTAACACGATTGATTAATATTTGTCTTAGAGAAAATATTTTTCCAACTGTTCTGAAGAGAGCTAGTGTCACGCCTATTTTTAAGAAGGGCAGTGCTCATTCACCGGAGAACTACAGACCTACTATATATGCCTTCTTCCAGTTATGTCTAAAATCTTTGAAAAATGTATCTGAGACTGGTAACCTCTTTTGAGGCAAATGAATTGTCTTCACAATATCAGTTTGGTTTTCGCCAGGGTAAGAGCACTGTTATGGGTGTACTTAACCTGATTTCTTCTATAATTGATGCTTTCCATGGAGGAGGGTATAACATGGTTCTTGTCTGCGATCTTAGTAAGGCATTTGACTGTGAGAGCCATGACATCCTTTCAAAAAAGCTCAATGATTACAACTTTAGTTGTGATTCCGGTAAACTAATTGAGTCTTACCTAATAGAACTCAGGTGATGAGATGTGATAGAGTGACAGCGGCGGAGCGAAGTGTTAATATTGGCGCCCACAGGGTTCCATATTGGGACCAATTCTTTTTTTAATTTACATAAATGATTTACCTCCCAATAACAATATGGCAAACTTTACTCTCTTCGCGAATGATACGACCGTCCCTATCACCGCTAACAGTTTTGAGGACACAATAGCACAGTCTGTGGCTGCGCAGGATTAGGCTGCGCTGTGATTTTGCTCCAATAAGCTGTTGCTAAATAAAGATAAGACAAAGAGAATGGTGTTCTCCATGCGAAGCCTTCCGGGGGACAGTGATTTGGTTGGTGAAGCCAAGTTTCTGGGGATTACCTTGGATCCACGATTGCAATGGAATTCACATTGACAGTGTTGCTGGAAAGGCCACCAAAGGGATGTATGTGTTACGCGTCTTGTATTTCTGTAGCCATATTGAGAATGGCTTACTTTGCCATTTTTCATTCTTTGGGGGTCCATAGACTGTTCGCCTTGCAAAGAAGGGCAGCTAGGGTTGTGAGCCGTTTGGGCTGCAGGAACGATTGCAGAGATACGTTTGTCAATTTGGGAGTTCTTACTGTGCCTTGTTTATATATTTTTGGAAATCTACTGCTTGTTAAAAGATACTCTAACTATTTTACTCATGAGGACGTTCATGAACACAATACTAGGCATAAGAACAATCTAGTACCTCCTTATTAGCGACTGAGAAGGTGTCAAGATGGACCTGGTTATTGGGCGGTCAAATTTTTTAGTGTTCTTCAAGATGGCTTAAAATCGTCCAAACCAAGAAAATTCTTATTAATATCTCATTTTACACGTTTGAAGAGTTTTTTTGATAGAGCGGTGGCCGCAGTAGTAGACTCTTCGGTTTCCTGATCCCGTACCAAGAGAAATCTTTCTCTTGGCTATGGATCCTGTGATTATCCGTAGGTGATAGACGGTCTCTGACTGTCGAACGCAGAGGTACCACCCGGCGGATCTCGTAGGCGGGGCCAGAATGTGTGCATGTTGCACGCATACGTGTTCCCTCGTCAGAGTCCGTGTGGCGTTCCCCGTTTCCCTTATATCCCCCAATAGCCCCACGGTACCCCATGCGTGTTTAGGCCTTAGGTCTTCGTGACATTTGGAGTATAAAAAAAGACGTAAATTTTAACTATAAATCGTAATTATGTTATGTTAGCGTTATATCTGTATGAGTGCTGGTGTACTTATGTTTGTAATTTTTTATAATCATTAGCACTCCCATTGTTTTAATTCTAATGCAATTATCAATTGATCTCTTGACGTATGTAAACATATTTTATGTATTGTAACACGAATAAAGAATTTGAATTTGAAAATTTGAATATGAAAACCAAGGAGGCCATAAATGCGTCTTACAATAAATTGTAGGAACGAGTGACCATACGGCCCTTAGTCCATATGTCTGTGGGTTCGCGAGGCAGTTGGTAAAAGGACCAATTTAGTACAGGGGGACAAAAAACGTTATTCAAGTTCTTTATAGCCTTCTGTTTGTTATGAAAATTTGCTAAATTAATAGAAAATTAGGTTAGAATTACAATATCTCATATATGTCGGCCACATGGTACTTTTCGAAGACGCTGCCATAGGATTTCCCATAACTTTCCGCGAGATTTCGAGCTTTGTGACCTGGATTTTGTTGTGAATGTCTTCTTTAAAGTACGATATATCTTTTAGCAAATTATTAAGAACATAAGTACAGGCGCATTTAAATACTGTGAATTCAGAGACTAAGTTTGACTGGCTTTCCGGCAATCCGGCAAATAATGTGGTCTATAAAAACTGCCTTATTAGAACAGCATACTACGACCTTGATGTGACTGCTGTAATCTCATATGGTGAACCTTCAGGTTTAGATAGCTTTCCAAAACGATCTCAAACAAATTAAGCATCATCAATTTTGAACCGAGGAATGGGTATCATGTAAAAAAACCTATAAGACGTCAAAAAAACCTATAAGATGTCATCTTGCAAACTAGGTAATTTTTAGGGTGCAAACAGTCATTTCACGTTTGCTCACTAGGATCGTTGTGAACTTCCATCTATGGGGTAATCACTCAACTAAGCTTCACGCATTATTGGTTGCATATGTTTTGTGAGGCCGAGTGGTCCTGGTCTGTAGTTTTTATCTCTGAGAAGAAAGTTGAATAGCAAGATCGCATGTGGATGATTATGTGTCTTGGTCTACATGTGTATAAAATCAGTGATATTTTTCTGTGTGAGAAAATCATCACTGAATATGCTGCCAATGAAGTATATCTATTGGCTGTGTGAGAAAATCATTACTGAATATGCTGCGAATGAAGTATATCTATTGGCTGTGCCCGACGGGTTATTTTTATGTTGTGCTTTCTGAATGGAGGTCATGTTCAAAGTTATAAATTACGAAAAACTTAGGAGAATTACGGGAAATCATCGCCGCGCCCGCGTTGTGTGTAATTACTGTTAGCATGTATATGGCTTTAAATTCGACAGTGCACAGTGAATATAATTATTTCTTATCTCTCTCATTTTTGAAATTCAGCAAATTTTTATATGTAATTTCCAGAATGTATAAGAAAAAGCGGCGCAACTAATTCCTAGCTTTGAATCTCAATTAAGTGTGTTTGAGACAAGAACCCAATGTAATTATCATCAACACATACAACTCACAGCTTAGACCTCCAGTAATGCCATTTCAGAAGCAGATTTTACATCACATCAGAGCCAAAGATTGATATCAAGCCTCATGACGTTTAGGCTACACGTACACTAAGTGCTAAGTTAACATCTTGTAGAAAAACCTACATAATGTCAAAAAAAACCAGTATAATGATAAAGAAAATCGATATAACGTCACTGTTCGAGACACTTGGACTTTCTCGTGAACGTTTCAACCGTCAGTACTGCATTTTTTCTTCCACCAGCAGTACTAAGGTCCAATATTGCTTTTTGTTGCCAATTTTTCTAAATGAGATAGTTTACGCTAGGTACTCAATGTTCACAAGCCTTAAATTGAAGTTGCGACGATATGGATGCTGGGGTAAAACAACAGACGCTGGACTAAAAATTACGTACGTCCGTTCTGGTTCTTTGATCTGTGGTGTATGGATCGAGATTCTCCAAACATTTTCGACTAAATCCTGATAAATAAACAGTTTTAAAAACGTGCATATTATAAGTAGCTCAAGCTACAAAGCTCCTAATAGCACTAGGTAGAGAGGATTTATTACTATTATTATTATTATTATAAAACAAGATAGTGTCCGAAGAAAGGGAACTTTGTTATAGGCGTCACACTTCACGCTGTCACTACTAGTAGTTCTGTACTTCCTTAGTTTAAATGGTTTGTGCTATAGGCAGAAGTTGGTTTCAGTTTCGTCCAGCTTCCTCTGAGTCAAATGTCTCCCAAAGCGCCATTTGCAACGCACGACTTTTAATAAGGGACCTGTGGGACTAACTTTAAATGCTGGATCTGCTGTACCTTCGGCAAGTCTCTGATACCAAAAATACCGGCAGCCTGCGCTGAAGTGTCAACGTTGTAAACCACAAAAACACCCGTTTTCTTTGTTACACGAGTAGAAGGTCCACTATATCGCCCTTATAGAAAACCTGCGGGAAGCGGAACAACTGTTCCTGTGTTCTGGCGTACCATTTGTTTACATGGAATCTTACAACTTTTTTGATGGCCACGGTTTTTTGTCGGCTTGAGTTATGATTAAGAATGCTTACTACGTCCGAAGCGGACTCTGTATACGATGGAGTCGTGAGCTGATCTTTATAGACTCAAGAAAGTGCGGAACCACTTCGGATGCAGCGACCAATGTACCTTAACTGTCCATCACTTAAAAAACATGCGGTTCCTCAAAACGTTGACGAGTGACTCTACTTCTCGTAGTCTGCAAGCTTCGACTGCTTCTCAGAAGGTTAATTGCAAAAGCAATTATTCGCGACTACATCTGCAAGATCCATTCGTGCTGTTTTTATCTGCTACGATATGTAAAATGTTTGATCCGATGTAACGCTGCTACATTTCAATTCAAATATTTCCAGTGATCAGACAAGCTGCCAAAGAAGTCAAATAGGAATCTAGCTGCTATCGGGTAGATTACGCAAAAGGGCATATGATGTGTTTGGAACTGAACGTTCTTATACGTATTGATAGTACGGAGCTGCAGCTGTATAGTTTTTCAACGACATGAGCTTCTATCATATAGCATTAACTATTGTACGATTGTGATGCAAGCTGATTGTAAAATGTCTTTCAAACTGAATACAAATTATACGGATTGTGTAAGATGGTCTCCCAGCTCCCATATTATATCAAGAAATACTTCATATATCCGATATAGCTACAAAAAACTATAAATTCATTTGGCCCCGGACACAAAATTTTCGACCCAGATACAAATTCTACCAACCAAAAAAAGGTTTAGCGATATTATCGCAAATTCAACCAATAAAAAAGGATTTGCGGC